GGTTATACAGAAAGATCCTGTAGATACCATGGATAGACAAAGTCACCAACGTAGACGTACTGCGGAGGATGAACACAACCGCAGATTTGGTCAACATTGTGAAGGGCTATAAGCTGCAGTACTTGGGACAAATAATGAGAAATCAAGGCAGATACGAGCTACTTCAATGCATTTTGCAAGATAAAATTGACGGAGAAAGGGCTCCAGAACGAAAAAGTCTTTCTGACCTGAGACTATGGTATAGAAACACCTCAACACAGCCATTTTGTATAGCAACCAATTATCGCCAGAACGATAGCCAATGTTCGAAATGGACAGGCACCCTAACAAGAAGAACATAACGTTAGTCTAGTGCACACAGGTGTTAAGTAACTTTTCGACACACTCGAGCTAACTAATAATTATAATTTTAAATTAGCTAACGCCATCTAACAAAAGTGGTAAGTACTAATAAATTGTAGGAATCTAGCACAAAGGTTGGAAGAGCACTTAATACCTTTGTGTTTCTTATGCAATAATTACAAATGAGTGAAGTGAACACATGCTTCTTTTGCGATTTGAGGTTATTTGACAGTGATACAATATGAAAAGTGGTATAAAATAATTGTAATTATAATTATAGCGTCCAAATCGGAGAAGATACTACAGATTGCGTTAGATGATGTAGGAAAAGAGCTGAAAGGTATAGTAAGGTGTCGACTGTAAAACCATCTTATTTTTCATAAAAATAATTATTTATTTCAGTTTCCACAATAACTCCGGCATTGGAAAAAACTACTGAAGGAGTATCAGGTAATGTAGAAATTGATATAACAGAAACTATTATTCTAAATCAAGAACAGGAAACTGATGAAACAAAATAAAAATTTGTGTGAGAAAAACATTAAACACCAGATTCAAGAGCTTGACTCATATAATGGCAGTGATCTTCATGAATATAATCCCTATGCTTCATCGGGAAGTTCTTATCATCCGTCAAAAGAAAGGACTGAATCTGAAAATGTTGATAAAAACAAGCCAAAAAATGAGGAATTGAATGAAATACCAAAAAAACGTCGCCGCAGAAAAGCCAATAAAAAGGAATGGAAACGATCAATTGTGAAAGAGTTAAGAATTAGTGGTAAAAAATATATGAATCGCTCCGGAAAGGAAATTACAGAAAAAGTCCTCTTTCAACAGATTGCTCTAAGTGCAGGTTTAAATGTCAAAAACTATTTTTTGATGGGCAAAGGGCACAACTGTGTGCAGATTACTACAGCTAAACAGATTATACGAGACAGAAAACGCTGTTGAATTCTTTGATAACAAATAGTGAATGTATTGCAAACAAACTCCCATAACAAAAAATCGAAAAGAGTCAAGGTTATATCATTTAATAGATAATAATGGGCAAAGACATCGAGTCTGCCTCAAGTTTTTTACAGCTACGTTTGCTATATTTCGTAAAGTCGTCGAGAAGTGTGTTGAACGAATGATAAATAAGGTAATTTTTGTCGGCTATGATAAAAGAAAGAATAGCAAACCCCACAATGCAACTGCTGAGATACAACGGCAGCAAGTTAAGGATCATATTAACTCATTTCCAAGAATTGAGTCGCATTACTGCAGGCGTGATTTAACTTAAAACTATCTAAATGCAGATGTAAACATTTCCATCATGTACACATAATGTAACAAATAATAGTAACACATATGAGTTAGGTGAAACTTTTATTTTGAAAATATCTTTTTTCTAAAGCAACTATGAGATTTATTTCATTTTTTTTAAATTGCATTTTCAAACAATTGTGTATAGTTTACCAAAAACAAATTTATTTAAACAAAGTTATTTGACTTTATATGATGTTATAAACTTTGTTTTTGCAATTACTTGAATTAGCGATTTTTTACTCAGCACCTCTGTGCGCTATACCAACTATAAGTTTTGATCACTAATATGTTTGTGTTTATAAAGTTTAATTTTAAAAATAATTTACTGAATATTGAGTGATAAGTTTTCAATTAAAATATTGTCTAAAAAATTTTGCTACCGAATGTCTATGGGATCAAAAAATAAATAAAAAGGTAAAATATACCCCATAAAAACAAACGGTAGTAAGAAATGTACAAATATTGTTATTTTACCTGTTAAAGTCGAAACATAAATCTTCCAATTAACTTTTCGATTTTCCCAACTTTGCGCTAAATTTTTCATAATTGTTTTCCTTACATTATCTTCGTACAAACTCATTTTAGACCTACTCATACATTTTTAGTCGATAATAGCATAAAACAGCAAATATTTTGTTTATTTAATTTTCAAAACATTAATAAGTACAATGTCATTAAAATATACCATAAGCAATATTAACTTTCAGGTCAGGTCCGTGTTACCCATTTGATTTTTTTATGAAAAATCATAGTGTTCATAAGAAATATCTGTAATTTTCTGCAATTCAAATAAAGTATTGGGGATATTATTTATATCTCATTTATGTCATACTAAGATTTTAGCAAGATGTATACATACATATATGATATTCTAATTTCGAAATATGATAAAACAATAATTAAATTAATTATGATCAAATTATTTAATTAAAACAAAAAAATTTATTTAATGAATTTTACTACAAATATGTGAATAAATTTTTTAACGACGCCAATTTCATAATTCATATTTTTTTCTTTTCTTATCTCAGGTTTCCTATTTGAGTTCAAAAAATACAGCTAACAATAGTTTTTGCTTATAAATATCATAATACAGGGTGTCTCAGAGTAGATTTTAGTTTTTAAATCAATAAAACTCTGTTTCAGAACCTGTTAGAAATATATATATATATATATATATATATATATATATATATATATATATATATATATATATTCGTATTTATAACGTTTTACGACGTTGTGCGACTCCCAAACGCCACTGTATTCTGTCTTGAGTTAGGTCTTCATCCAGATTTCGAGCGCTAATCGCTTTCCTAACTACCAGGTTTCAGCTCTGTGGTGGTCTTCCTCGTTTCCTCTTCTCTGGGGGTTGCCACATCATCGTTTTTTTAGACAATCTTTTGTCCCCTATTCGGCTCACATGCCCATACCATATGAGCTGTTTTCTCACTATAGTGCCCTCTAACATTTGTTGTTATATCACTTCATTCCGTATTCTGTCGGCTCTTGATATTCTCATCGATCTTCTGATGGCATCCATTTCCGTGGCTTCGACCTTTTTCTTATATTTCTCGGTTATTCTCCATGTCTCAGCTCCATAAAGTAGGCTAGTTTTAACCATTGTCTCATAGATGTTCCATTTTCTTTTTTTGAGTATTTCTTTACTCCATAGAACTCCGTTCAAACATGCTATAGCTCTTCGTGCTTATACAATTCGATTCGTGCTTATAATTTTCCTTATTAGCTTTGATTGATTTTGGTTAAATTGATTTTAGTAAATCCTTTTGTTTTTTAAAAGAATGGTGATTTCTATGAATATCCCGTTCGTCTTACATTATTGTTGTTGAAGTAAGCTAATGCAAGAGTTTCTCAAATATTGTTTAATTTCAGCATTGTTTGTCATACCTTTTATTAGAGTATCCAGCTCCGCTGCACAGCCTTCTGGCACTGAGTCAGTTTACTTAAAAGTATGACAAGAAAACTTAAGGCCTAATCCTAAAAATACAAATCATCCTCAGAAAAGTTAGTGTTACTTAGATTTAAGGCTCTACGATGAAATTGGTGACTTGAAAACTTATGCATAAGTGTTGAGATACTTTTAGGTTGTTTTTGCAAAATCAAATGGTTTAGTTTGTTGCTAAGACTTCTCTTCTTGGTGGATTGTAAGCGAAAGACCTCACCTTCAATGTGGTTAGAGGAGTCGTTAACAAGAAACCAAGGATGTTGTTGCAAAATTTGATCATAAGTAACTTTAAGGTTGACATTATTGGTAAAGTGCTTCTTAAGTTCTCTTTTCAGGATCTTTTTCTCCAAAATCTGTTTTTCGTTCTCAGGTACATTTTTTGATGTTTTGACCTTAGTAAAAGTAGAAGTGACTTGATGTGAAATGCACTGTCTAACGAACCAAATGTTCAAGAATATAATCATTGTCTTACAGGATAGTCTTTTGTAAGTATCAACCAAGACTGCCATAGTCAATAAAGTGATATAAATTTAAATGCTCGAATAAATGAATTTTAATTAACAAAAGGCAGATATCAACCACAGTATTAAATCTTGCCCAAGTACTTTCGCTTCTAGAGCATCTTCAGTGGCATCTGAAACAGGCTAAGAAACGTTTTTTTACCGGAAGAAAATTAATTACCTTCGAAAAAACTCGAAGTAGGTGGTTGATAAAATTTTTTATGTATTATAACAGACTTCTTCTTCTTAACGTGCCCCATCAAATCCCCTTGACGTTGGCGATTAACATGGCGAAACTGTCTCTGTCTCGAGCTATTCTAAATAGTTGCTCAGCTTTCTTTATTCCTGTCCACTCCCTGATATTCTTCAACCAAGAGGCATGCTTTCTACCAATTCCTCTGCCTCCTTCGATTTTACCCATCATAATAAGTTGAAGAATATTATATCGGTCCCCTTACTACGTGTCCAAAATAGACCATCTTTCTACATTTGATGTTATCAAGCAGCTTGCGAGCAGCATTTGATCTCTCAAGAACTGTCACATCTGTCAGCATAACAGACTTACTTCGTCAAATTTGGCTATCCAACAAAAATTTATCAAGTTACTTAAAATATATAAACATGTTACATACAATATAATTGTTAAAAATGTCACAGGAATGTCGGAGTAATCTTCGGGTGGATGCTACTTTGTTCTTTGAATAATAAAACACAAGATTTGTCACAATTTTACTTATGAAAATGTGTGAAATAAATGGTAAGCAATAGAAATCGCAGTATGAAAACTTAGGAACTCTCTGGTGAAAAATAAATGTCTTTTTTCAATTTATGCTTTGATATATACACATGATATATGCACACTATATATATATTACATAATTACGCTATTTATTAAGTAATTCTTGAATCTCATTTAAAGTTTTTCCTTTTGTTTCTGGTAGTAACACATATAAAACAATGAAAGCCAATAGAGAAACTGCACTGTGAGCTATCATACAGCTAAAAGCTCCAAATGCTTCTGAAAGCAAAGGGAAACAAAAATTAATTATTGCTATTAAAATACCATCAAAAACTAAAACCAGAGCTGTACCAATAGATCTGAAGTCATGTGGAAATAGTTCTCCAATAATACATATAGGGATAGGACCTAAACCTAACCCATAGCAGATAATAAATATTATGACAAATAAAACCGGCAACCACCGTATTTCTGCTACAAAAGAAACATTTATATGTTTAAAATAAAATGAAATACCCATTGCGAACATAAATACTGAACAGCCAAGTGAGGAAAATAATAACAGAGATCTTCGTCCTAGTTTTTCAATGACATATGCTGATACAGCGTAAGTTAGCACTTGTGCTGATCCTACTATAACTCCAACGTTATCACCAGATATATTGGCACCAGTTTCATTAAATATTAAACCCAAGTACGCTATAATGATTGAGATACCGGACGCCTGTTGACCTATGCATAAAGTAATTGATATAAAAAAGGCTTTGACCCCTGCACGTGCTTTAAATAAATCTACAATACTATGATTCTTTTTGTTTAAATCTGACTCAACAGTTTGTTGTAACGATAAATATTCTGTTTCTAGTTCTCGATGACTTTTGTTACGCCGTAAACTCTCAAGAGCTGTTATAGCTTCTATTTTTTTACCTTTAGAAATTAAGTAAATAGGTGATTCGATTACAAACACGTGAATTATAATATGAATTAAACTTGGAAATGCACATATCAAAGTAAACATCTTTATACTTAAAAAAGAACCGAAAACATACATTAAAAGCATTCCAAAAACTACAGATAATCCTACAAAACAACCTATTACTCCTCTATTAGAAGTATCTGCTACTTCTCCACAATATATAGGCACACTTATGGATATTGCACTCAATCCCAACCCTACAATCAACAAGCATACGTAGTACACATAAATATGCCTAGCAAAAGCAATTACAATCTGTGCAACCAATAAACATACTGCTCCATACAGCATAAGTTTTTTTCTCCCAAAAGCTTGGGACAGTTTTGCCATTGGGATAAATGATAAAAAGGTTGCAATTTGGGGAACAGTAGCTAACAAAGATATATCCATCGTTGTTATTGGCGAACCAAGAGGATTTTCTTCGGTACTGTTAGATTTTAGCTTACTGATTACTGGAGATGTCCAAGCCCACATACCTCCTGCAGAAACTAATAACAAGTTTGCTGCAAATTAAAGAAAAGTATTAATATATTTAGATGATATAAAAAGCTATAGTAAAGAAATTATTTAAATAAACTAATTGTCAAAAGTTACAGTTATTAATAAAATGTGCTTAATTTTTTTTTCTGATATAAATGGATAATACTAGAGAATGTGTTTTATTTTGTAATGTGTAAATCTACAACGGCAAAGATTCGTAAATAATGAAAACCACCAATTTCATAAAGATTTATTTTACTCTAGTGATAAGTGTTTTATCTTTTCTCCAGTGTTTTTGTTTCACATAATTATTTAGCTTTACGCGATTAATTGGTTTACAATGTTCCTTAATAATCTCCTATATTTTTTGTGATATACCCTTACTTATAGAGGGCATTATTTTTTGCACTTCTTGGAAAAAGTCGCTTTTCTTTCTTAGTTCTGTTCTGTTTGTCGCTTCATTTATTTCATGCTTTAAGTTTGAGTTTTACTTTTGGTCAGAGCATATTCAGGGCCACATATCGTCCCTGAATATGCTCTGACTGTTTGATTGATGATCTCTGATGAACAGAATATTAGTGAAGACGTAGTCAACTTAATTTCTAGACCTATATCAAGGACGTCTGCAAGTACCTATAAAGTAGGTGCGGCAAGCGAATTTTCGATACCAAATTGCCTTTGTACCTGGGGTAACCGAAGGGTCAAATTTTATTATAGGAAATTTCGACACCGCGGCGTAAAGCAGGTAGGTGATTAGCGGCGATGGACATTTGCACCCAAGCAGGACAAGCGGGTTTTCCCAGCATTTATTGTTACGGCGGGGGGCGTTGCACTTGTGTACTTGTGACTAAATTATTTCAGTTGTAATTTATTTCTTGTTTGACGTTGACTTGTGCACGTATACGGATATTTAAAAAATGAGTTTGACAAAAAGTTCCTGTGGTCGAGATTTATTATTGGTGGAGCATCATTCGTTCTCGAAACAGAAAGTGTTAAAAAGCGGCGAGATATTTTGGCGCTGCATCTAAAGAAACACTAAGTGTTCCGCAAAAGTGTTTACAATAGGCTGTGAGGACCTCACCATTACAAGGAGTGATTTGGTATATAATCATGAAGCCGATCCAAAAAAGCTTGAAGTAAAGATGGTAACCAATGCATGTAAAAGAAAAGCCCAAGAGGACATATCGGAAAAGCCTGCCAAAATTACAAGAACTGCTGTTGCTGACTGTGATGCCAATTTGCTGACGGTTCCTGACATAGCTAGCATAAGAAAGAACATTTACAACTGTCGTCGTAAACTGTTACCAGGTCCGTTACCAAGAAGCATATCAGAAGTCCATAACGCGGTTAGTAATTATTCTCCTAAAACCTGTCGCAATGAAAGTTTTTTGTTTTTAAATCATGAATGTGTTGCTTGTGTGAGTCCATATCAAATAGGTAAAGAAATAATAATAAGACGTAGATAAATTGATGAGTAATAAGTAAATTGATTGTGAGTAAGTCTTATTATTATTTCTTTACCAATTTTTTGTTTTTAAATCATCCTGAATTAAATGTAATTTTATTTTCATGCGAGACAAATATTCGTTTGTTGTGTAAATTAAAAACTTTGTATATGGATGGTACATTTTCATACAGTACCAAGTATTTTCTACAATTATTTACTATACTATACATGGCTTGGAAAATGGACATTATGTTCCTTTAGCATACTGTTTGTTAAAAGACAAATTGTCAATGACATACAAAAATTTATTTTCTTTTTTCTTTTTTTCTCAAAAGGTCTAAGATTTTTGAAACATTTCAATTGTCATTAGAGCCAACTGAAATATTTGTGGACTTTGAAAAAGCAATTCACTGTGCTTTATTGTATATGGGGGCCAATGCAAAAATTAGTGGATGCCGTTTTCACTTATACCAAAACTGGTTTAAAAAAATTCAATCTTTGGGTTTGGTACAAGAATATAAGGATACAAATTCAGAAATTGGAAAATGGTTAAGGCATACGTTTGGTTTAACTTATTTAAATCCAGCAGAAGTTGAAGAATGCTTTCTTTATGATTTAATGTCATATAAACCTATAAACGCAACACTTGATATATATGCAGATTATTTATTGGAAAATTACATTTTCGATAGCGCTCTATTTCCACCACACATATGGTCTAATCAGAATCCGTCTATTGCGAGGACCGCAAATGCCTGTGAATCCTTTCATTCGAGATTTAATTCTTCTTTTTATTCAACACATCCTTCTATTTTTATTTTTATTGAAAAGTTAAAAGAATTTCAAGTAGACATTTATGTCAAAATAAATAGTTTACATATACCAGCAAAAATCAAAGATACTACTGTTAAGGCTAAATTGGCATTTTTGGAGAAAATGATGGATAAACTACGATCCCAACAAATACGTAGGTAAGATTTTATAAAATCTGTATCTTATCATTTCTATAATAGCAAATAAATCATTGTATACAAGTATATTAACGGTAAAATGTACAAAAATTAGGTACTAGTTGTATTATATTTAGATATTATTACAGTTATAAAGAAATAAAATTCACATTACTTTTATTAAAATAAATAAATTAATTAATTATGGTATTTTATTTATGTCGCAGCTATATTTGTTTGGTGTCGAATATACCTGTAAGATAAAAACGGGAAATGGGGCTGGTGTCGAAAATTGCCATTAAATTTTAGTCGCTACCTGCTTAGTGTCGAAATTTCCTACGCCCAGTAGGTGTGCATAGTGTTTAAGTCGAGTATTCATAATTGAATAATTATTTTTAATAGCATATTTTTTTAATATTAACGTAACCGAACGATTACCGGTAAAAGTAATCCTCCATTTGTTGATCAGCAGCTACGGGTGGAAGAACTGACAGGTGGTAGGGCACTTCATTGCCCTGGAGCTGAGAAATTGACTCCAAAGAGCCAAATTAGCCAACGGCATTGAGATGTGGAAAGCCACGGCATGACTACCACATTAAAGATCCGTAAGGATATCCCTAGGACACCACAATTTCTGAAATCCAAACAAATGGCCCTTAGTCCCAGGCACCCCTTAAGTATGGAGACGGTGCTAAGAATCCCCCGGTCAAGTAATAATGTCCAAAAAGTTAAAAAGATCTGTACGTGGAACATTCGAAGCATGTACCAAGCAGGCAAAACAACAAATACTGTTCAAGAAATGACTTGCATGAACATAGATATTTTAGGATGCAGTGAAGTTCGATGGCCAAATTCTGAAATAAGAATTATAGATGAACACCATATTTATTATTCTGAAGACGACACAACAAGAAAGAGAAATGGTGTAGCGATAATAATAAAAAGGGAAATAACTAAAGCATTAATAGGATTTACGCCAATATTAGACAAAGTTGTGCTATTGAAAATTAACTCAAGTCTGTCTAATATAAACAGCATTCAGATCTACGCACCGACAACAGAATCGACTTAAGAGGAAATAGAAAATTTCTATCAGACTCTTTAACACTCTCTAAAACTGACCAAAAACTTGAACTTACTGATGGAGTTTTCTCCGATTTCCACCAATTGTTGTGGGGAAAGCTTATTAAATTCCTTTCCCCGTGCGTGAACAGTTCCAAATATTTTAGGACCATGGACTGTACAAGAGTGTTTCCTTCGATATATACAAGCAGAACTTCACGGCGCTGGTTCTTTATGTGTTTGATTTAATAGGGGTTGTACTAACAGAAAAAATAAGCGTAATTAATTGAATCTACACATTTAATAACAAGAGAATATTTACACAAGCACTAATACTAACGAAAGAGTTAACATTGTCCATTATTCTATCGGCGTTTAGGGGCGCGCGAGTTATCGCGAAAACAAATACACATTTCACTGCATTTTGGCGGCGAAGAGAGAGCTTAGGTACCGGCTACTAGTACCAAACAGCTTGAGACACTAGTCACATCTGCGAGAGATTTTGAATTGAATCTTTACCTAATTGCTGACAAAGCGGCGTCGGTTTTACCACTTTAAACAACCCTTATAAGCTATTTATGGCACAAATAGTTTGCAGGCAAAAAGTACAGTCTTTAACATAAAATCCAAACTAATATTTGTGAGAACTAAAAATTACACTAAAATTAATATAAAATGTTGTTTTTACAACACTTACTATTATTAAGGGCGATTTCAATGCCAAAATAGGACAAGGTACAGTCGCGAATGTCGTGGGGTCATATGGTCTTGGCATGAGAAATGAAAGGGGAGAAAGACTAATCCGATTCTGCCAAGAGACGGATATTGTTGTAACGAAGACACTTCTTAAATTACATCTAAAAAGACATTATACATTTAAAGCACCCGTGATATAGTGATACCGTATCTCTTTCCTTTCTCTGACCTATACCGAACATTTTCAATATATTATTTAAATCTTCATTTTGTGTAATGTTGCTGACTTTTGAATTAAATTCACTGCCTGTTTATTTGGAATATTGGCAATTGTTTAAAATTTTTTGTAAAATCCCTCAACTTTTATTCATCTGGTATGCTGGTTGTCTGGTAACCAGTGGATCAGCACCAGAACAAAGACAGTAGACGCGATAGAACAAGCAGCAAAACTGAAATGGAAATGGGCTGGACAGAATAAACATCTCCAAGACGGACGATGGAATAATGCCATCGGAAAGTGGCGTCCATACAATGCAAAGAGATCAAGAGCCAGACCACAGATGAGATGGAGAGATGACATCAGGAAACAAGGAAGTCCCACATGGCAGAGAACAGCTTAAGATAGGGAAAGATGGAGAGAACTGGGGGAGACCTATATCCAACAATGGAAAGATAGAGAATAGGTTAAAAAAAATGCTGGTTGGCGCATACAATTGTATGGATAATACGGTGCTACAAAAACTTGCAGTGCAACTGCGACTACGGAATAAGTTGGAATCGCAATTGGTTTCAGACCGTAGTTTTAAAACAATTACGTGAACATTGGACCTTGGAAACTTATGTTTTTATAACTACAAGTAGATATCAAATAATACCAATAAAAAGTAACATAACGAAAAGAAACGCAGCAATGCTCATGTAATTTTCAGCAGGTATTATACTAGTTTATAAATATGTATTAATAAAATAAATATCATAAATAATTAAATATTTAAAGTCAATTATTTCATTTATCTTGGTATATCGCGTTTACTAGTTAGTTTACTGTTTTTGATTTTAAAATTCAAAAAATTACCCAAGTATCTACATATATGAATATATTATAAAGGTTGACGATCACCAACATGAATCAGTCCTGACGTAACAAAGAAAAAAATAATAATAGGAATAGATAGAACCAAAATTATTACACAAAAATACAGTTATATGTAGAACCAATATTATCATAATGATAATAATGATATATGCATTGTAATGCCACTACAGTTTGACGAACCCATCGACTAGGTACATCGGTACTGCATAGTAAGGTTTTAGGCACACCTGCAAATCCAACAGAAAGAAAATGCAAATAGTCCAGAATCATATAATCAGAGAGGCTTTAAATATACCAATGACCATCAATGGCCAAAACCTCAAAGCAGCCAAAGAGTTCATATATCTAGGGACATCGGTTAACCCCAATAATAAACCATCTGAGGAAATAAAATGGTGAATAATAATTGCAAACAGGTGTTATCATGGTCTATCAAAGTACTTAGCTAACAAATGTCTATCTTAAACTCGTATAAGGCTGTATAGAACACTGATAATCCCCGTTCTCACATATGGATCAGAGGCATGGACGCTAACTAAGACAGATGAATCCGCTCTATCGATTTTTGAAAGAAAGGTACTACGCAAGATATTTGGAGCGGTCTGTGAGAACGGAATATAGAGGCGTAGATATAACTTTGAACTGCAAAATATCTACAAGCATACGTTTGGTGGTAAAGATATTACCACTATAATTAAGTCAAACCGCCTGCAGAGGGCAGGACATGTAGCCCTGACCCCTGAATCCAAGGTGGGTAGGATGGGGTAACACAAGATGTGGAGAAGATCGGAGTCGGCAACTGGAAAATGCAAACAAGGGACAGAAGAGAATGGCGTAGAAAGCTTGGGAAGCTAGAAGGTCGAGATTAGGGGTTGCAGATTGTATACATATGCTTATTGCAATGCTTCTAAAATAATAAAAAAAAAAGTTTATAGCATTAAGCGAATTTGGGTCTTGTCCACTTTTGGACACAATCTATGTTGACAGTGTAGTACAAAAGCTATAGAACTTTCTTAGTACTACAAATTTAGCAGAAATGTAGGAGTTTTTAACAAAATTTGAAACTCCCTAGACAACAAAGCTCACATATGTTTAACCGGAGAAATAATGCACTGGAATCAAGTTTACTGTATAAACAGGAAGATTTTTTAGAATTTAAAAATGACAGGGGTGTAGGTCATCAAACTCATTGTATAAAATATTGTCCAACACCTTAAAACACGTTCACGCCGCTACCAGATACATGGGTCTGGTATAAACTTTACGTTCAACCGGCACTGAAATTTGGAGATCTTGCGCTAGCGCCGACAACGATAAAATGGCTAATTATGAACTAAATATTATGATATAGGTACCTACGGAATCGTCATGATGTGCTTTATATTTTAGTTCTGTTTTAAGTTACCAGATGCCAGCACCTGGTAACGTCCCACAAAGAAATTTTTTACGCTATGGGATTTACCAGATCTCCGTATCTGGTTATTAGTGTTATCGTAAACATTGTACAAGTCTGTTGTTTTTTTTTATTAAAATCCATAAAAATGTCGTCTAGAGGCGAAAAAATGGTTAAAATGGTGCTAAACAAGCACCAAAATGCTTGGATACAAACTAAAAGTGAATCTGATAGTGATCCATTTGAAAACTTATCTGATGAAGATCCTGAATACATTCCTAGTGAAGATAGCGACAATTCTGTTGGGGACGAATCCATATATTTGAACGAAGAAGTATCCAGTGATATAGAAACTGATAATTATGAATCGGAAAAAGAAATTGGTAAGAAGAAAAATGAATCTTATAATTTGATTCTCATTATCTTTATTTTTAGGTGATGCTGAGGAAGATGTATAGACTGACATTCAGGAAACAGATAAATTAGATTTTGATGAATATCCTACAGATTCTAAAATAAATATTCAATGTGAAAATATGAGCCCGTTGAATATTTTTTGTCTATTTGTCAAAATAGACAAAATAAAATAGACAAAATATTATATATAATATATAAATATTTTGGCATTCCTCTTGCAAAAGATCTATTAGATCGCCAAACTTTTTATTGTGAGACTCTAAGAAGCAATCGGAAAAGTATTCCAAAGGGAATAGTTTAAAAGAAACTAAAGCAAAATGAAATAATTGGCATAAAAAATGAGGACAATATAAAGGTAATCCGTTGGCAAGACAAGAGATCGGTATTAATGTTTTCCAGTAAACCTGACCATACCCTAAACTTCTGTACTACGGGCAAGAAAAAGAGATCAAAACCAAGGGAGGAACCAGTGGAATATATTTTTAAAGACTACAACAAAGCTAAAAAAGGTGTAGATTACAGTGACCAAATGGCAGCTTATTATTCTTCCTTACGAAAAGGTCTAAAGTGGTGTCGTAAGGTAGTCTTCGAACTAATCTTTGGTGCTACAATAATAAACAGCTGGATTATCTATTATAAAACAACCATCGAAAATAAGATACCAATGCTAACATTTCGTGAACAGTTAGCATTACAACTTTCAAATCAAAATGAGTGTATTTCTGAAACCAACTTATCAAAGCGAAAACATTGTCTGCAACGAGAAGAAGGTCCTGGTAAAAAACGTAGACGAAATTGCGTTGATTGTTACAAGAAGTTGAGACAGACTATGAAAAGTAAGGAAGCTGACAAGAAGGTGACCAAAGTAAACACTTTTTGTGAAAATTGCGAAAAGAAACCGGCTTTGTGCTTAACTTGTTGTAGTGATAAACATATCTGATTATTAATTACTATTTTAATTATTATATATTTTTGTATACTTTAATATTACTTCAAATAAAAATTGATCATTTTATTTATTTTTTAAGAATAAAATATTTTAAATTGCCACATAAGTATCAGTATATTTTTATATACCGTAAATACTTTACCGGACATCGGAATCTGGTGCTATGTCTGCCAGAAATGGATTAGAGTGTTTACGGCGGAGCATAGGTCTGGTATCGTCCGAACAGTAGACAGTGTTACCAGATACATGGATCTGGTAACGTCAATGAATGTTACTGACAAATTTAATGTCGTCGTGAACGTGTAAAAAGCGGTTTAAGTACTTACTTGAAAGAACTCATTAGTGAATAATAAAGAAGTTTTAGGTCAGATTGGTCAGCAATTGATCAGAATTTCGAGTACAACTTTAGTATTCATATCTTTCGTTTCATCTCTTTGTGGACGTGAAATAAGCGTATGGTAGCGTGCTAAGAGGTAAATTATATGAAGCCATGAATGAATTGCATTTCATTACAGGACTTATAAAAACAACTATGAGTAAAGTGCAAATACAAAGGCGGTTTTTTAAAAATATGCGTGGTTATGACAAGAAGACCCGCTGGCGTGTCTTCTCTTCAATATAACGTTAGCCTATAAAAGATGCCGAGTGATACAATAGGTGAACAATCTTTAGACTTTGATAAACTTGCCTTGTCGTGAGAATTTGACAAGTTAATTATCTAAAAATTTAAAGACAGATATCAAGAAAGAGGTTACGGAACAGTTAGGAAATTGAAGTAGCAAAATCTGAGGAGCAGAATCTGAGAACTTGTAGGCGACTATAGTTTGAGACTATTACTAATGTTGGTGGCAGAAATTACAGGAGATGTGTCAAAGTATATTCCAGAATACAGATGAATTTTTTAATATAATTATCTTCAAATTTAATTTTTCTCTGTATAAAGCTGAAAATATTCTTTCTCACCTGTCAGGGTAGATACATAAATCCGCCAGTTAAAGTTTCGCTTTTTCCAAATATGTGTAAAATTCCTTATGTTTATTTTGTTATCGATCTTTTCGTAAATATCCATTTTAAATCGTATGGTGTACCTATGCAAGAAACTTTTTATTTGTATTAATATAAAACAACAAATCGTGGTAGTTTGCTAAAATTTAAAAGAGCTAATCAGCACCAAGTCATTAAATATGTATAACATTACTATCTGACAGGGTCGGCTTAATCATTTAATATTTTTTTATTGAAGCAGGTATTTGGTTAGCAATTCTAACAGGTTTTTGTAGTGCTTAGAACTTAGGGAATCTAAATTATAATATAATTTCGAATAAATTACTAATATAGTCGTACAATCATCAAAACTGTCTAAGGAACACCATCATTATTCCCTTGG